TTTTTTAGTGATTGTGTCACAAAGTGCCTTTGTGGATCAGTATTCTTTTAAATATTCTTTTCTTTTAGCATCAAATTAAGTTAATAATCTGAACAATAATTGAATACTATTTAGTACCTAAGATTAGCCATCAGCCATTAGCCATTATTTCTGGTCATGCCCACTCCTAAAAAATAACTGTGTTTTTAAAAATAATACCTAAATTTCAGTGATAGCTCACATGGACGATAAACGAGGATGTGAAGTAATAGTTGGTAACAAAAGTCACATTCTGCTGTTTGAACAGAGTGGAGCTGCTCAGGTTGAATTTATATTTATTTCAGTTTTTTTTGTAGTAATATTAATTTAGGTATTTTTACTAACCAGTTTGCAGGTTTGCAAATGCGAGAAGTTAGTAATTTGCCAGATGGTTCATTAGATATGACCGAGTTACGTGAAAAATTTCGACCATCGAATCCACATGACTACGAATCTTATACATCGTTAGTATGCATAGAAAACAGCCACAACTATCTTGGTGGTGTAGTAATTCCTCTTGAGTGGCTTGATCAAGTAAAACAAATTTTTAATTATTTTTAAGCTGCATGTCTCGTTTATTTTATTACTAAATTATTTATGTTGTGTAATTATTATCTCCACTTAAAGTCGTATTAGTTTTATGATATATAATATATTCTTTTTACTATAGAGATAAATAAAAACTATCACAGTAATATTGAATAATAGAACCAACATTTTTACAAGCATACAATAGTCGTTTAGCCAAGTACTTTAACTGAAACAAAGATCTATTTCACACGTGAATTATTTCCATTTTTTTAATTTTAAATATGTTACAAAAGAGAGTGATAAAAAATGYGCAAATGTAAGTTTATAAGCCAAAAGTAGAGCAGATTTAATAAACTAAACAATTTTAACCAAATTTTAATCTTAAATTATTTTGGGCTTTGCCGCTTTGGTATTTAGAATGTGTCAACACATACATCTTATATGTGTCATAACTTAGTTAAAAGTAACGCATTATAATAGTCTTCATTGGAATATTTAGTAACTGCACAAATATTTACTTGAATAACTTACATTTTGCAAAGTAAAATAAATATTTATAAAATAAACAATTTATAAAAAACATATTATAATATTACATAATCAAACCAAGTTATAATACATTGCTGTCTAATCATATATTTTGTTTTTACTTAGTTAGGAAAATTTGTCAAGGAAARAAACGTGCCGTTGCATATGGATGGGGCTCGAGTGTTTAACGCAGCGGTTCACCTTGGTGTTYCCGTCAGTCGAATAACTGAACACTGCGATTCCGTRACGTTCTGTCTGAGCAAAGGACTCGGGGCGCCTATTGGTGCGGTTTTGGTGGGCAACAAAATGTTTATCGATAGGTAATGAACCCGTGTCCCATTAATTTCTAAATCTACACAGAAAATAATATTATTATTTTAAATATCCGTTCTTCCGGGCTTAGGTGTCGAAGAATCAGAAAATCCTTGGGTGGGTCTATGCGCCAATCGGGGATCGTGGCCGCAGCTGGCGTGTATGCTTTAGATAACTGCGTGGAAAGGCTGGCCGTAGATCACTGGCACGCTAAGAAAATTGGAAATGGTATATACCTAATTGTGTATTTGTGTTTTATAAAATCGCACTCATTTAACAATTTACCTCGCTAAGTGCGAATAATAGTATGGTAGGTCGTAGGTACTTAAAGAATGCAGCTATAAGCACACTTAAATCTAGATCTAACACCAAGAATATCTCACAATAGTACATTAGTAAGTAAACACTGTATATAGTAACACACCTATAATCATAATATTGTTATCCAATTATTGTATGCACATACCTACCTAATATATTTAGTTTAAGCAATATTTTGTATAATACATGATTGTAACTTGTAAGTACCTACAAAAAGATGTTTCACAGTTAGCTATCAAACTATAGTTTTCCTCTTCATTGTTTCAAATATTTTAAATTAGTCTGGAAAATGGAAATAACGATCAATTCTAATCGTATTATTATTTATGTACGAGGCCTCATGTGTTATCATAATTTATTTGTTGGTAACTGACAACTCACAAATATTACAGCTTTTTGTTTAGTATGTAGATGCAAATTTTTATTTAATATTGATAAAATATGTCAATATGTCAGATATTCAACTATATCTAACATTTGATTCTTTTTTTGGTATTAATATAAGGATTTAAAGTTTAGATGAACTTATATGCTATATTCTTAAGACATTTAGACAGTATCTTAATATTTTAATGTTTGGTCCTATAATTTAAATTAATAATCATTATCCATTGCATTATAGTATATTTTATACAACTATAGCAGGACAGTAAAAATAAACAGTTATTTTTTGCAGCCATCCATCAAATGGCCAGTTCTGACGTGTCCGTTAACTTGGAGAAAATCGAAACCAATATACTGAATTTAAAGTTAAATAATTTGAAGATCAAATCAGTTGACTTCTACAACATGTTGTTAACGGTAAATCAGTTTATCAGTGGTGTTATTTAGGAGTTGAAGGAATGGGGCATTTTCAAAATTCCTATTTAAATTAATAATTTTAAACTATTGCCTATTTAGTATTTATACCTACCTATCGGGTATTACTTATAGTATAATAAATTATTATAATATAAATAATGCAATATTAGTAGATGGGTATATAACAAAGCATACTTGGTAATATAAGCCGACAGGCTGTCTTCACTTAGAATCGATTTTAGTATCCAATTATTTATCATTGAATTAGTCGAATTTAACACATCCATACAAGGTACAGTCGACACCTACTGATTTACTGTATCTACAGAAGAACATTACCTATTTGCGCATTACCTATTTGCGCACTGTTTATTATAACCATGTGGTATCAACAGAAATAATATCAATATGAGCTAAAAATAAGATAACCACTTTAATATTTATCTGTAGTTTCTAAATAGTCTTAAATTGTATTTTATATTTTATACTTTATTTGATAACCTATTATAGTAATTGTGTTTAGTGTTATAATAAAATTTCAAATTAGCTTAGTCCTTTTATAAAAGGACTGTACTGACATACAAAAAATATTTATGTCTATGATAATACATATACATTATACAAGTATGCAAAATGGCAAATAGTATTAAATTAGATTGCGAGTGGTTTTCTTTTTAAATTATATGAGCTAGTTAAACTTTTACTCACTTCCTATTAAAAATTTTAATGGCACAATAAGATAAATAATTCTTAATATCCTACACATTTAGTAGCTTTAAAAAACTATTTTTTTAAACCATTTTAGCCTATAGGTAGGTACCCCCAGGCGCCCCATCTATTTTTGGCTCAGACACAGAACTGAATCCTAGCCCCGTACATTTTTCTAATATAGTAGATAATATATATTGGAGTAATTTTGAAGAAATTATTTAGATATATGAACGCCGGGTACCATGGGACCTTCTGATCCCCCCTTTGTGTAGGCTATGGATACCTCTATTAACGTATATTAAATTATATGTATGATCTTTTTTATTTCTATTACACAGGTCGACAACAAAATTGATGATAATCCGAACAAAGTAAATTTAACGTCTGTTAGAATATCATATTTATACGAAGGAAGTGTGAGATTGGTTTTGCACAAAAACATTTCAGAGGAAGACGTGGATATGGCTATTGAGAAGATAAAATACGTTATTGGAAAAATCAGTTCCTCTAATTAAAAGAGTATTGTACAACAGATACCAAGCTGACAACAAATGAAAATTATTGTACTTGTACTCGTACTAATAATAATATGTTACATACTTATCGGTTATTAGTTTTTAATATTCATCGAATATAAAATTTACCAATTAAGAATCAAGTCAAAAGAAACGTTAATTTTATAAAATAGTTTGAATTATTAATTTAATTTAATATTAAGTGCTAATTTATATTATTACTCATAAATAATTAATCTGTTATTAGTGCTATTCTTTTAATATATTTTATATAACTTATATTTATACTTTTATGCTGATAAAAAAAATATACCTATATTTAAATCAGGTATCACAAATACAAATTAAAAAATCCAGGGCTAATATTTAAATACAGTTTGATCCATTGAAGTGAGTGCCTACACTAATTATCTTTTTTTTTTTTTATTAGAAAAGAAAATATACAATAAGTAATTTTGATGGTTTTTTTTTAACAAGGCTTGATGACGTGAGTGAAGAGGGTGTCCAGTAACACTACTTCAACTTGATTAGATTGGTGGCTATTTAGTTAAAATGTTTTTTTTTTTTGACTAACTGATGGTAATTGTTTTTAAGTATTAAGTAAGTCGCGTGGCCATTTACGTCTGAGGCGGCGGATAGGGTTATCTGGGAGTGAGAGAGTAGAGAGGTTTGAGATAAGAGGGTTAGGATGATTAATAGTATTTTTATGAAATTTTATGTAGTGGTTTGACGCTATTTCAGAGATAGTTGGAATTTTTAGATCCTTATGTAGAATGCGATTGCTGACATACCAGGGAGAATTGGTTAAGAGTCGGAGATTGATGGATTGAAAGGCTTGGAATTTATTTAAGTTAGAGTTTTTAGAGGTTCCCCAAATTTGTATGMCATAAGTCATTGCAGKTCGAATGATTTGTTTGTATATGAGAAGTTTATTGTTAAGAGAGAAGTTAGATCGCAGGAGCTGTCTGAATTTATGGAGTTTTAGATTGAGGGAAGATATTTTGTTTTTTATGTGGCTGCCCACTAATTATCTCGAAAAGTATTAACTTATTTTTTTTTAAGCTTTTAGGTTTATGTTTTACAAAAACCATGTAATATTTTAATTTGTTTCACCCTTATATTTGTTGGTGAAACCACCATCAACTTTTGATTTTCAAATGGTAACATATTATTAAGATATGATTAAATTATAAAACCATTTTTTCTCATGAATTTACGTGTTTACATTTTGATTTTTCGTTGATTGGCTTATGAGATATAACTCCTCAAAGTTTTGGTGATTTTTACTATTTTTCCAATAATTATTATAAAGACTAGCAGGCAGCAGCTAGTGATAAATTCGATATTGCTGAATCCAAGGTAACAAAATAAATAACAGTAAATTKAATATTACTCTTGTACTTTGAACCTTAATTATCATTAATTATCATTTATTAACTTATCAACTAATTGGACTAATTGGATTTATTTTGTTACCTTGGATTCAGCGATATCGAATTTATCACTAGCTCCTGGTTTTTAGGATTATTGAAAAAAATAGTAAGAGCCACCAATACTTTGAGGAGTTATATCTCATAAACCAATCAACGAAAAATAAAGATTTTAATACGTATATTCATGAAAAAATGGTTTACCATATTTTAACTATGTTATCAGTGAATGCGTCAGAACGATAATGGCAGCGTCATCTACTGTCGTTATTTTGAACTGTTTTTAATATGTATGATGTATTTCCCGCAGCTGCTGCCAACTCTCATCACTACATAGCGTTGCCATATTAATTTTTGTTTTTATTTAATTTAATAAATTACAAAAACTTCGCACATATTTTGTATTATTTAACAAAAATATTTATTACTTTTTTTAGGGAAGGAAATATTATTATCTAGCTCAGGTGAGGTGAAACAGTTTGGTTTCATGTATTTATRAAAATATACAGAATAATCCGTTGGTATTTACACTAATAATTTCGAAATTTATGAACTTTAAAAAAAAAAATTTTAACATAATGATGATGTCATTGTCAAACCAGTATGAATATTGAAATAAGAAATACAACGTACATTTCATATTCCAAAGGAGAATATTTCCATGATTTTCATCACTTACAAATTGAGCGATGTGGTGGACTATATTTTATATATTACATATTTGTGGTGTACTTGGTTACTGGTTTAGGTATAAGGTATTCCAGTTTCAGTTAACATTTAATATATTATTATCTCCTTATAAGTCATAACCAATAAACCAACGAAAACGAATGCTAATGTTATAATTATGATTGTTGTCTAACAAATAATTAGAAGTGTCCATTTATAAATCAATGGTTCATTAACGACATTAACGTACACTCAGTAATAGAAAATTATACCCATTTTTAATGAGAATAGTATAACTGTAAGGAATAATATTGTAAGTACCATACTAAGTAGAAATAAAAGTCGTATTGTCACAGCTACTTTATTTCATGAAATGTACAACTTTTTTTGAAAGATCAATTTCTCGAAATGGCAACTATTTATTTTATTCATACTAATTATAGGTATGTTATAACATTATTCAGATCCAGCTATAAAATTTTTCATTTAGTTTCATTTCATTTCACGTTTAGTTTTGTTATTATTAATGTTAAAAATTAAAATCGACTGGTTCCACTATTAAATTATCACTGACCCACTGATTTCCGGATGTCTGGCATCTGGTTCATCGTCGAAAAACTATAAAATAGTCAACCGTCAACATATAAAACATATCACATATAGGTACAGTAGAATCATTTAATAATTATTGGAATTATAAAAATCAAAGAAAAGTAATTAACGACATATCATTCGACTTGCGAATACTTATGTGATTGAAATTTAAAACTAAAAATATTTTGTTTTGTAACCTATTATCCAAAATCGTCTTTTTGAAAAACCACAAAATATTTTCAAATTTTAAATTTAAGTATTCTAAAAATATTTAATACGATATTAAACATTTTAATTTTACTTCATACCTATTAAAAAAGTAATGACTATATAATAATTATATTGGTCGTGACTCATGAATAGATTTCTTAAATATGTTTACAAAAAACATTATATTGCATGTGTTTGTGTACTTATTACAATTCAGTACAATTACTCGTTATAATTTATTACTAATAACTAATAATCTATCAAAGGAGATGTAGTAGTATTAATTAAAGCGCTAAAAATGAAAAAATATTTTTATTTTTTGTATAAATAGAAATATTATATTCTTAAATTTTTAAATTTTTTTAAATATCATATTTATATTTTATTTACTAAAATAAAACAACATTTTAAGCACAGTAATATTTATTAATTACATATGTATTTAATATTACTGATGCAACTCATGGAATTTATATAAGACAGTTTTTTTTATTTATTAAAATAATTACAATCTATACAACAATTTAGTACAATAAGTAATTTTGATGAGAGAGTTAAAAGCTTAAATGAAAAGCTGATTTTACGCTATTGATTAAGAGGAATAATATAGAAATAAATATTTTTTTTTTAAATCTCATACCTAACTGATACAATACATTGTCTATAACATTTTCATAACTTCGATTAGGTAGAACTTCATATATCTACCATTAAATTTATATCATTGTCTACAATTTCTCTTAAATTTGATTTTTTCCTTGTTTAACATTTTGTAGAACTATAAAAGTTAATAAAAATTGATTGAATTTTACATATAAATCATAAACTATAAAGTAATTATATATCATGACATGAGTACTTATTTAAAATTAATTTATCTTTATAGTTTTAAGACTTTTATCTTTATTATAATATGGTACATCATACTCATCATAGTGTTTACATGCAAACATGTTGTACAAGGTACAACAATAACATTTGCTATTCAATTATAATTATACTTGATATAGCCTAAATATTATAACTTATTCTGCATTTCGACATCGATGGAAACAAGAACAATTACTATTAATATACTATAGCTAGCTTTGCCTCTTTCATTCATGACATCGAGTTCAACCGCGCCCGTCAAGTTATTTTCATCATCATAAAACTTGTTTCTCCAAAGTAAAATTTTATAGCGAATAAATAACTGATGCTTATATTCTTCATTTTAAATTTTCATGTTAACAAAATTTAAATATCACATTTATAATTTCAGTAAAAACGAATCTCAAAGCAGCAAGAAAAAAATGTATACCAACTGAACAGTGAACATACAGCGTTGGGACGTTGGGCCATGTATTATATATTTAGTGTCAAATTAATTTTATTGTTTTTTGTTACTTAAGCAGTGGAAATTAGAAAGTCATAGATAGTATAATCATCATACAATGAACATTCTAATAAAACATACCTAATATAACGAATTTATTCGATTTGAAGAAGTGTATATTACAAACAAAACCACATTAGATTTCGTTTGTTACCATGATTCAACAGTTTATTGATATTTAATATTAGATTGTTTTATTTTTTAAGATACCTAGATTAGATTTAATTTGATTTTTTTATAACCTGTATGAAAATTAGAAAATAATTATCACATAATAATGAAATTTGTAAACTACAAAAATTGTTTGGGAAATGGGAATTCATTTAGTACAGTAATAATATAAACTTTTTTTTTAATTACATTTTTGTACATAGTTTAGGACGTTTAGGTATCTATTCCAAAGCAGAAATAGTATTTTTCCTTTGTTTTTACGACATATAAATCCACGCCCTACCTAATAATAATAAACATACACATAATAAAATCAATACACTGAGAATCTACATGAACCCATCATAAAGGAGAAATGTAGATACATCACAATAACATAAATACATACAGAACTACAAGAAAAATATACTGTGATTATTGTTAATTAAAAACACTAATTTTTGTTGAAAAGTTTGCAAAATGGTGTATGCTTCACCACAACCTTACACGGATAATAGATAGCAATCAAAATAAATCATTGTAAAATTAATACATTTATCGGCTCCGAACTAAAATAAAAATATTGGTAGGTAGTGAGATTGTACGGAACTACCGTCCTACTGACATAGTAACATACGAGTATTATTATAGGTATATGATAAAGACGCCGTCACATGCATCTTTACATCTAGACTACAAAATAAACATTAAATCGATGACTGATGAGAAATGAGAATACTGAATAGATAGGTAGTTAGAATATATTTCTCTTGATAAGACGATTTATCTC